GGGCTCTGAGCAACCTGATTTAGTTGAAGATGTCCCTGCCCATGGCAGGGGGGTTGGACTAGATGACCTTTAGAGGTCCCTTCCAACCCAAACTATTCTATGACTCTATGATTCTAAAATGAGGTGGTTACTGGGAGACTGTTTCATCACCTGCTGATCCCAGTGCCATTACTGAGGTATAGATTTTACCCAGGGTCATGAGCAGAAGAACCATTTCACATCTCTATCCCACTCACAGGATAACAGGATACAGTCAGATACTGATCCAGAACAGGAATATGTCACCCTATGACATTCAGGCCAGGAAATGACATTAGTTAAGTGGTGGAAAAAAAGTAGTGTACTGGCAAATTACTTACTCTGGGGATGATTCCGGGGTTAAATTAGACATCTCCTCTGGTGTAGGTACTGCCCATGCACGCACAGCCAAAGAGAGGGAGGGAGAAAAGAAACTGATGATTCAGTACACCTTCCATTTTCTGCTTGTATACCAATGAAACAATTCTGGCATTACACCCTCTTGCATTTGCCCACTGCCTCTGCAGACTAGTTCTGACATTTGAACATTGGTCATATGTCTCTAGATCGCTGTATCTAATCAAGTGCTGCATTTCAAGGCTCACCCTACCCTTCCTTAAATCGTTATGTAATCTTGCACTGGCTTCAATGGTTTCTGGTTCAGACCCAAACATCGTGCCAATTTGATTGCTTTACAATTGCTTCAAAGTCCAGTTGGACGCAGCTCAGTCACTGCCGCAATTCTCCGCAGTTCTCTGACCATCTCAGAGACAATGTCCCTGACCATCACAGTTCAAAATTTAACTCTTCTATGGCTGTAATCCTCCTTTGCCATGGGATCACATCCCAGTACCCTGTAAAACCACAGGGTGTTGGGATAGCTGCTGATGACATCTGAGGATAATGCATGTGACTTTGGGTGCCCTTTGCCTGAATACAAAAAGCCACCTGGAGCTTGAAGAAGAAAATTTTGCACATCTCAACACTCTAGGGACTCTGAAAACTGAAACAGGCCAGCAGATACGAAACCACTGATATTAAGGAGATATTTACACCAATTACCAAAGGAGGTAAAAAAAGCATTAACCAAGATCAAACAAGCTGTGCTTCAGAAGGGCAATCTCAGCCTATTGCCACTGGCTATCTTTTTTTCAACACAAGGCTCAGCCTGTGGCTACGGAGAGGTAGCGGAGTACAGCCATAGGGGAAATGGCAGAGCTCTAGGTTTGCTGACAAAACTAGTAGAGAAGCTGAAGATAAAATTTTCTTGTGTTCTAAGAGCCACAACAGAGATAGTAAGAGCTGTACGGCTACAGTGTGAAGAGGGCTCAGGAGATGCTGTTGGAGCAGGTGCAGTGGCATGACAGCCTGCTCACACGTGTCCTGGGTTAGGACTGGCTGACACTATCACTCTCATTTTCAATACCAATATTCAGTCCTTAGTACATGAAATTTGCAGAGCCACAGAGAGGTAACAACTTGCTGCTGAATGTCTGCCCAAATCAGAACCACCCTGTACGTTTGGGTGAGTACTCACCTTGCAATTTCCGGCGATGGAAGCGAGGAGACCCCAGGAAACTATTCTTGATTGAGTTGAGCCGTGTCCTCCATGGCATTCCTCCAATGCTGGGGCTGGATGGTGGTGTTGGGTTGGGTGTGCCTGCTGGGCTCTCCTTTGGCGTATGGACAGGTGTCCCCTTGGGGGTAGGGAGGGGACTTCCCCTTGGAGAGGGGTGAGGGGTAACCTGTATGATGGGGATAGATTTGGTGCTTGGGTCAGTACTAGAAGGGAGCAATCTAACAGGAGACATAGGGTTGGTCTGCACTTTAGGAACAGCCAGCTGTGGGTTAAAGCCGGCAGCAGGCGAGCGGCCCTGAGCATTCTGCACAGGGATGTTAGGGGAAGAGGGGGTGCTGATATTGCTGGCAGGGAGTGGGTTGGATTTAGTAGACTGGAGTGGTTTTTCGGCCAATTTGCTCTTGGATGGCAAAGTCTGCGTCTTTGGGTTGGGCTGAAGTGCTGGCTTTGGTTGGAGTACATGTCCAGGCCTGGAGGCGTTCCTACAAGCATCAGGGTCCAAGGAGACTTGGGGTCGGGGAGAGAAAGGGAGGTCGGAGGTCTGAGGGGGGATGAAGAACTTTCTGATAGGCTACGAGACAGACGCAGAGTGTCCATGCACATCAAAAACAGTGAAATACGCATAGAGCGGGCGAGCAGAGAAAGGAAAGTCAGAATAAAATCCATCCGAGTCACAAAGATGCACCATGTCACAAGGAGATACAAGAGATGGAGGTGAAGGGGTAGTGGGGGGAGGGGTTTTGCAAAGAAACAAAAACGAACAAACAAACAAAAAACAAAAAAAAAGACATGCAGTTAGCTGGGAACACAGCATAATCAACAACAGCAGCAGTGGCAGCAGCAAGAACAACAGTGTCATAACAGGCTTCATCATATTAACCAACCATGTGTCAGCAAAGGAAAACAACTGAAAGAAAAGTAAAACAAAGGAAAAGTAAAAAAAAACAAAATGAAAGAAAGTAACCAAGAAAAAAGAAGAGAGAAATGCTGTCTCTCTGGGATTGTTCTGATTGCCCTGCAGTGAGAGAAGCACGATGCTGTAGGGAGGTGAGGAAGGGGAAGAAGAACCACTTAAGTCACAGACAAATTGATATGTGCCAAGAATGGGACCACCTCTTTCAGCTTCAAGTGCCCATATGCAAACCCAGCAGAGAGATGAAACTCAGAACAGGTGTGTGATACATACAGAGTGGTAGGCGATACACACAGGTTACTGCACACACCAGTCAGAACCTCTTTCCTTCCTCTTTACCCCTGACACTGGCTAATGCACACCCCAGCTGCAGCCACCCATTGCAGAAAGAGGGGGAACAGGGAGAGTGATGCCATGTGGGCATCCACTCTCCTCCCCTGGCCTGGAAGGTTAAATCGCTTAGCATTCACTTGGAGGCTTCAGAGCACACACCATCATGAGAAAAATATGAACTCAGGTTGGTGTTTGATTTGTAAACAGCTACAGCAAAAACTTCAGAGAGGTCTGGCAAATTTGTTTATCTGGGAAGAGATGATACCTCCCATCAGACTTTATGCTTCTCCTGCAATATCCCTCATCGCATTGAAGGATAGCTTGATAATTGGAATTTCTGTCATAAAGTCACAGCAATATTTGCCATTAAGTCCCAATTCTATGGAGGGGATGGGGTGAGCCATTGTTTTGTAAGACACAGTTTAAAAAGAAAAAGACAACCAAAGTTCACAATCCATCACTGAGTTATCGAAATGGGATTATGAATTTTTTTTTCCCCAAACAAGAACATTTACATGTTAGAGGCATTTTGGGAAACCATTCATCTGTCGACAGCAAACAGCAATAAACAGACTTGGGAGGATAGAAGCCTTTTAAAGGGATATCAGCAAGCTAAAAATCACATTTAAAACAAAATGAATGTCCTTACAAAACATTGCTGTTAACACCTTAGATTACAAGTACTGGCAGAATTGTAAAAATAGAAATCACTACTCAAGATCTTTAGCTTTGGTCTGCACTCAGATTCTGATTTCTATAAATTATTACCTATTATAAATTATTTATCACCACTATTATTATTACTATCCATTCTTAACACCTAAAAACTGTAATCAAGCACTGTCCAGACATACCATGTACACGTAACCATGCCTCAAATCTCACTCCCAGGTAAGCACACTCACTAGTGAGTTTACTTTCTGGGTTTGATGGATTAGCACAATGTTGCCATATTTAAAAAATGCAGAAATGTATTTTAAGACAATTCCTAAAATTGTTTGTGTCAAAGTTTTGTAATTACTTTAAAGAACTTAGTGTTAGGCCACCAAAATTAAAAGAAAATCACTACATCAAAACATTTGTGTTATTATTAGGATTGTAAAGTTAAACTAAAGTCTGCCATGTTGGTAAATTCTGATCACCAATGAGAAAGGAAGGAGAAAAGATGAGGAAAGTGGTTAAGTTATGGAAGTCACTATCAGCATCTGACTATTAACCATTTGCAAATGACACCAATGGATAAAGTCAAAAACTGTTGATTGCAAATGTTTCCTTGCAGTTTTTATATCTTATGTGTATGATGGTTTGAGAAACAAATTTGAAAGAAATAAGTCAAATTCAACTCCCACTTAAGCCATTAAGAATCTGAAGGGGCACCCTTAATTACTGCATTTTTAATAACGAAATAAAGAACAAGATTAGGCCTATATTTCAGCTGGTGCAGTGGGGAACACCATTAGCAAGATCTTGTGAGATTTAAGAACTCTTAGTTGCTGTCGAATTCAATTCCTCATAGAACTGAACCTAAGCAGCGCATATAGTGAAACATGTATTTGCTTTTTAAAGTATGTTCTCTTTCAATAATCTAAGGTGCTATTAGAAGCATAGGTAAGGACGTTTAAAAAAATATGATTTTTATTCCAACATTTCCTTTTAAGCCTCAAATTTGACCTGCCTTAATATCGTTATGATCTGCTGAAAATGCCATCTGGTTGCTAAATCCCTTTGAAGACTATTTAATCAACTGCCTATTAAGTAATAATGGTAAGATACAGTAACTATGGAACAGATCTTGTCATCCTTATTCTTTGATGTAGTCCTACTGAGATGTCAGAAATTGATCCCAAGAGATCAATTAATGAGATCAAGATTTAGGTTTGCTGCACGGGATGCTTATTTTGTGCACAAAACTGTTTCCATGCTCTTTTTCAGTACATTTTGCAGTGGCATAAGAGTTCTCAGACCTCTGCTTCATTCCACTGACATCCAGGAGTTCCGGTGCAGAAACAAGGAAATGGATCTGCACTGGTTCCTGGCACATTAAAGACTCAGAGGAGACCACAAAAACATTTATGCCAGTTGCAAAACAGGGTAACAATTGATAGGAACCCAGAATACATTTCAGAAAATAGTTCAGTCAAGCAAGGAGTTGGAAGCTTTACTAGCCTATAAACTTACACCCGACAGTGTGTCTTTATGCATAAGAATTACACACAGTGTTACTGGGGAATTACAATTTTAAATACTTGGAATACTGATGTTATCTTCATATACCTAAGAGTAGATCCATAGGTGTATCCATACCCTAACACATGGAATATATCCATTTCCAATGGGGGATGGCATCTTCTCATGAAGTCATGAAAAGTATGTAGAAATCCTCCAAAGACTCTGGGCCAGACAATTAGGTAACATGGATTGCCACAGCCCTACAGACTTCCTGATGAGTTCTAGACTTTTGTAAGGACTGTAGTCTTGAAGCGACTAAGCTGACCTTGTCAGACACTAGGAATACTGACTCTTATCCCTAAAGAAGTTACCAAGGAGAGGGAGGCCTCTGTCATTGCACTTAGAAATTGTTAATAACTTTGCAACAGATGTACTATCAAGCATGTTTTGTACTAGCTGAGTATCAGTATTAGTTGAGTATCGGTATTTAGTTGACTTTATATTGAATAAGGGCATGTGAATGTACCTTGTTTATAGGGGTTTGAGTGTTCTTTTCTCATCTTAGTCAACTTCTTACTTCCCTTTTAAATTTGCTAGCCCTCAAATTTGTATAATTTATTTTCTCTGACTTTCTAATACAAGCTATTCTGAGGCAAACAGAATCCAGCTGGTTGTAACCAGCATAGTTTGGTGCTCTACTGTGACCTGACTGAAGGTAGCTGTGAAATGGTTCCTGATATTTGGTCTGAAACCACACCATATACAGACCTCAGCTGGATATGGCAGTATTTAGTCACAGCAATGTTATTCTATGTGCTTATGAGACTGAAAAAGGGCAGGGGCACAGTGAGATCCCCGCTAACAGTGCAGGGAACATGTATGAGAAATTTGCTGCTTGCATTTGTAAATAACATTTCCTTCACCACCCATGAAAATTTACAAGCTGCCAAGGAAAAACAAAACATCCCAGCTAAGAGCCACAGCTCTGCAGCAACAGATGTCAAAAAGCATCAAGCATGTGTGAGTGAATTGGACCAACAGATCTTGAAGCAGCACCACTTACCCTTGGACTGCTGAGGGGACTGGTGGAGAGCCCAGACGACGCTCCGCTGATTGACCGAGACCTGAATGGACACAATAAGGGAAACAGCCCTCAGAAAACTTGGACAAGTAATAACCCTGAACACCAGCCACCACAGGCACAGGCATGAAGTGAGGAGGACGAGGGAGGCTGTCACAGGAAAAGCACATGACTCTTTCCTTTCACTACTGTCACATTTTTCAGTTGTGCCACCCTCAACACAAAGAAATACTGCTGCTCAGGGAGGATACTATAATCCCTTCTCATTAAAAGAGTTGCTACCTTCTTTTCGGTCATCAAGCACATGGAAGCTACTACGTCTGACCTGTGCAAGCTGAACTGCTGAATTCAAAAAGGACTGTCAAGACATTCATGTTGGTGCTGAGAATTCTCTTCTGTGCAGTGCTGGTGGACACAGAATGAGATGTTCTCTGTCACAAGCAACATGGAAAAGCACCTTGTGTACAAGGCACAAAGGTAGGGGATTCTTCCAGATATTAAGAAACAAACAAGTCTCCATGATCCAGGCACACAGTGTTTCCTATGTGATGACTTCCCAATGAAATCAAAGCTCACATTGGCTTAATCCTTTCCAGCTTCTCACTGATGGATTTCACATCCCTGCTCTCCAGTAAGATTTCCTACTGTTGCATTAAACAAGCCAGGTCTTCTCTATGGATAATGAGTTCTGCTGTTGTTGATAACTTTATTAATATCAAGATAACAGCCCAGGTGCCCTCAAAAAGAGGCCAGTCAAGGGAGAATAAACTGTCCTTTTATTTGCTGACAAGGTCACCTATACTGTAATGCTCTCATGCTCTCCAGCAAAGACCACCTATGAAAAATGTCAGCTGTAGACAATAAAATATAAAAATGTGCTATGCTAAACGTGCTGAAAGGGCAGACAGGCCAAATGCACAAACATTTCAGCAGCAGAATTTTCCAGGAGGAGGGCTGCCCAGCAGGAAAAAACAACCCCTCTGTGTTACTGTAAATGAGTAAGTCCTAGAGGCAGCTGCTTTCTATCCTTTTTAAATAGATAGAAAGTTGTCTTGAAGACTGAAACATCTTATAGGAGAGGACTTGGCTAAGAACATAGTTGTTCAACAACCACCATGCAACATGTCAATATAGCAAACCTATCAATGTTTCACATATAGTAAGAGCCATGAAAGCAATTACTTGCCTTCAGGTAACAAAACATGAAAAGGTGAAATCCTGTAGATGCTTGGAAAACAGAGTGCATGTGTGTATGTGTATACATATGTGTCTATGTGTGTGCACACACATATATATATTTAAAATTGATATAGGTCAGATAGTTAATGTCAGTTTATACATAAGAGAATATAAAACAAATTTAGACCATAAACTGTCTCAGTTTACTCTCTTCTACTGTTATAGAAGAATAAAACAAAAAAATCAGTTTCTAAAATGGTCTCACAGACCATTATATTACTAAATAAATTTGAGTAGTAGAATTATTAAAAAATATGTGAACTGCAAAAGAGGAAATACTTCCAAGGAAAAAGTAAGCTACCACTAAACACAATGGCAGGTCCTGTTCTCCCTATTTGCATCCTCTGCAGAAACTACTCACTGATGGTTTTCTTTGTATCTCATTGCAGTTTGTCCACCACAGTAAGTAGGTGAAACCCAGAAGCCCAATGCTTTTTTGCCAGATTAAATCTAAATTTGCAGCATGAAAATATGGGGCACTCATTCTATGCAGAAACTCCCCACTTACATTTTTCCTTGTACCCTGCTGCAGTCTGCCCATCATAGTACAGCGGTCAAAAACTAAAGCTCAGTCTTGGCATTCCTTTGCACTAGATTAAACCAAAATTTGTACCATCAAGATCTGGGGCACTCATAAAGGTTTATGCAAAGTAATTTTAAGGGGAGAACCATCTGCTCCACTTTTGAAAAGCTGTTTTATGTGCCTCTCCTATAACTGAAGTAGCTGAGTACAACACAGATGTGTTGTGCATATGGGAAGTCCATTTAGTTAAAATCTTCCTTGTATGAGTCATCAGGAGAAGCTTCTTCCAAACCATAAATTACAAGAGGAGCCTATAGATTATCTTGGACAAATGTGGAAGGCATTTAGGTGCCCAGAGATGCAGTTAAACACCTACTTAGGAATTAAACTCCCACTAGGAGCAGTTCCCGCCAGCTCTTAATTGTGGTGGGAAAGTCCTCTCTGACACTCACCTGAATTCCAGGATACTTGATTAAAAGTTCCAATCTGCTATTTCCTCTTTGCAATCAGGTGTTTCCAAGAGTCCTGAATTCTCCCCTCCCAACCCCATTGCCTCCTATTTTTTTACAAAAATGATCACACGCACGGAGGGCAAAACATGGCAGGCCCCACCTCCCAACTCCCAGTTCCTTATTGGAAGCAATATTTGAAAAAGAGTTGTTGGGTACTGTGCTTTCATCCAGCCTAGGAGCCTGAGGTAGGGGACAGAAGAGAGAGTTAGTGTGAAATCCTCCTGGAAATGCATTCAGTATCCACATGATTACTATCGAACAAGCTTTATTTCTGCTGCTGATTTACATGCAAAATACATAAGAAGTAAAGTAGGCCCTATAGCAAGTTTTAGTTTGTCCACACTGGAAATTGTATATAGGAGCAGTAGAAAGAGTTTAAAGAATCCTGGGTTAATTTTAAGTGTTGGGGTGAAAAGAGAGCTGTACATTTTCAAAACTTTTCCCCTTTACAAGAGAGTGCTGGTATGGGATATGACATCCAGACTGAGAAGATCTTCCTTGCATCTTCTTCAATTTAATAAATCTCCCATAATTTACCTTTACAAATGGGACATAGTTCCTAAGCTGGCTATAAAAACTCAGTACAGTGGTAGGTTCTATACTGCAGTACAAAAATGCTAACAAGCAAAAAATGACAGATTTGTTCTTCCCATCAAGATCATCTTAGCTGGGAAATGCTAGAATTCAGTTTTTAAAAAAAAAAAACCACATGCACTGCTCCTGTATCTCAGAGTCAGGTGGACAGAACTGGGACAGGGCCAAAAGAAAGTAATGAAAATGTTGCATTATGCTGAAATACTTTAATGAAAGAACAGAGAGAATTTAAATTTTTATCCCTCTCACCAGAAAATGAAAGTATGAGGCCCTACAGGCAGCACATTAGTATGGCAGACCCTGGATGCTCTTATGTGTGGAAAGAGGAGAAAAATATGACATCACCTTATCTCTACGGCTATGAACTTAGTTTATTTAGTGGGAAATATCTATTAGTGAGTAACCTCCTAAGAGTCTCTACAGGCATTAAATGTCATTGGAATTATTAAATCTATAATTATTCCAATAACTTAATATTAAATGCAACAATCTAGGAAACTACAAACATTGTGTATGACTCATTTTGCTCTGTGTTTTGCATTGTTGTATGCTTGGGCACTAACTCAATGGAAGCCATTAAAAAGTTGTTGAAAATACAAGCAGAAAAGTTAATGCAGTTGCTCAGATAAAGAGCATTCCCTCAAACACAATTGCCAGATTTAGAGACACAAGAGATTCTTTAGTCCCTTCCAAAGTGACATAGTTGTTTTGCCAAGCCTGGAGGGAGGAATTAAAAAAAAAACATAAGGGAGCAAGACCCAAGGTTTAGGAGGGGGAAGATGTAGAGGGCACTCTAAACATAAGGTGGGCACTGAGACCATTGCAGGCTATTCCTCCCATCTCATAGACGGACAATAATCTGGAGACATCTGAGCTATGAAAGAGAGAAGCCAAGGACTGAAATGAAATGTGCATGTGTGGGCTGTAGTTTGTAGATGTGATGATTTTATACCTTATTCAATCTATTTGATACTTCAAAATATCAAAGTTAAAAGGTCCTTTGTTTTAAAGTCATTTTTTACTCATTTTAGCCAGCTGCTGTCAAAGGGGAAGCCATGCGAGGCCCAATTCACGTTAGACCAGTGGTCTCTTACTGGTGAAATTGAGGAGCTGGAATCCAGTTTCCAGCTAGTTTCAGAGAACTGCAGAATTTCTGGAGAGCTGTAAGAGGTGAAGGGCTGAAGCCTCACACTGCTGAGGTGCAGGCGGAGAGAAATACAAGAAGGAAAAGCACAGCTGACCTGGTAACCGTACTACACATATAGCACATGTACAGAGCACCTCTATATAGCCCTTCATTAATTTTCAAGTGCTTTAAACAGTGCATCTGCTAGTACACACCAGTAGAGTATAAAGGCTTCACAGCCAGCATTAAGCATTTGGGTCAGATTTGGCATTTGTTTCTTCTTTGAATAACCATCTTACAGAAATTTTTCTTACAATCAAAGGGGAGTTTGGTACCTTGTTGCAGTCCCAGCAGAACTTGCTTTCATAGCACAGTTTTACCAGGATGCTGAATACAGCCACTTAGCTGGTCAAGCTGGAGCCATGCTTCCAAGAAGGGGAGCCTGCAGCATGCATGCAGCGTGCAGTAATGCATCAGACTTCTGTCCCTGGGTGAAATGCCTTAGAAATTTTGAATTGGTTTGATTCCATGTGTAGTTTTGAAAGTCATTCCCAAAATATCCAGCCAACCTCTTATTCACTTCAAGCATAAATTGGGTGGAATTTGATACTCCTCTTTGCTTGCTCACTCAAATAAAACCAAAAAATTCTAAACTGTATTTCAGGGTATGGGACCCCTGAAAATGACCTGAATTAATATGCAATAGGTGAGCAGTCAGGCATTACAACATTTCATCACTATTACTCTTGGGTGCCCAAAATATACAAACTGTGCTTCCTTGCTCCCTGATCTAGGGAATACGAATAGAATACCTTTGATGCTCCACTGTCTTACAGTCCCAACGGTGCAAATAATACTAACTATAACACCTCTTACTGGGAATACTTATGCTTAAGTCAGAAGGTCTACTCATGGTAATAACCACTTGTAAGATGAAGCATTACAAAGACTACAGAGAAAGGACTGCAGGTGTTGGTAACACACCTCTTCTTCCTTTCAGCGCACACAGAGGGTGATGTTAAACAGCAGCACCTTCCTTATAATTGGCC